TCTTCTCCTCTTCGCTTCTTTTTTGTTTCTTCTACTATCATTTCTTCTTACTTTTTTGTTTCTTTTTTTTTTCCGTCGTTGTTTTGAGTTTGTGACTTTTTTTTTCTGCTCAGAGGGTTGGCTTTCTTCTGTTGCCGTGTGTACGGAGGGCGAGGTGCGCGGAACAGACTCCACGCATGCGTGTATTTGCTGGTCTGCCTGCTTAGATGGTTCCGTTCCACCCTCTCGCCCAGTGGCGCGGGGGGACGTGATGTTATTGCCCCCCGTCCTGCACATCGAGGGAAAAATAAGTTCCTTTTTTTTTTTTTGACAGTCCGACACATTTGCCGGCGGGCACGGCTATGCGCAGAAAGACGCACACAGCTGCGTGCCCGTGGACAACGTATCAAGTAGCAACAACCAAAATAAACAAGAAGAAAATCGATACGTCACAAAAGACGGATGGTCCTTTGTAAAGTGCGGGGGGGTGGCTCTTACTGCAGAAACAATGGCACTGGTGCCGAGCGCGGTGTTGCGCTGGGGGACAGGTCTGTCGGGAGGGGCGGCGGTGTGGGTAGGCACCAGAGAACACGGCAAAATACAGTTGTCTATAGCACCGAAGGAGCGACGAAGAAATAAAAGGGAAAATAAAGTGCGAACGATTCATAAATGACACCACTCCCGCTGTAGTTACATGTAGCGTCTTCCGTTTACTGTGTTCGTCACGCCCTCCCCACCATTAACCTCCAAAACGAAAAGAAAAGCAAAACCAGTTCCCTATTTCCACATCACCATCCGCCTCTGCCCGCATAGAGCACTCTCATTCGCCCCTCCCGGAGCGTCTTCGTTCCGTTTTTTTTCTTTTCGTTTTTTATCTTTCTTTTTCTTGTAGTTCTTTTTTTCTTTCCTGTTTTGTTTTGTTTTTTCCTTTTCTCTTTAGCTCTTCCCCTATGCTTTTCTTCAATCCCTTTTTTTTCCCCCCTCTTCTTCTTCTTCTTTTTTTCAGTTTGCTTTCTGTAGGAAAAAGGGAGAAATATATAGAGAGGTCTTCATTATTTCACCTCCTCCGCTTTCTGTGGCCCTTCTACTTTCCTTTTCCTTCTTTTTTTTTTTTCCTTCTCCTTCCCTCATCGGCTATACAGACAAGGAATATATATAAATATATATATATATTTATTTACATGTATAGATAGATAGAAAGATATAGATAGATATAGATATGTATGCGTAGCCTTTTCTTCTTCCGTTGTGTGCGTGTGTGGGGGGAGGGTGGGGGGAAAAGGGCGAGGGAGGGGGGGGAGGGTGGAGGAGGGAAAGCCGTCCCCCAGCCACGCTCCCGCGCCAGATTTGCCCCACATGTGTACATATACAATTACCTACGGCGACGCATTACACATCTATACCACGTATAGCCCGAGTCCTCACAAAACTAAAAGCAAAAAAGAAAAAGAAAAAACACACACAAACACACACGAGAACAAATAAAACAAAATTCCCTCATTATACACGCTCGTTCCCACACAAGTGCGAGGACAGACGGAATCTACTGCTGTGGCATAGACGGCACAGACTGTGTCATCACATAAGGGTTTTGCATAGTCATCATCTGCTGCTGCGCGTAGGGGTTTGCGGCGGAAGGATAAGCCCCATAGCCGCCGTAAGCGCCGTACCCACCGTAGGCTCCAAACCCAGCGCTCACGCCGTTACGGTTCCGTTGGTGGCCACTCGCCGCCAAAGCTACCTTCAACCGCTTGTTGAGAATGCTGAAGCCGTTCAACCCGGCGATCGCCTGTTGGGCACTCGAAGCACTCTGAAACTTCACAAATCCGTAGCCACGGCTCTGCCGCGTCTCACGGTCGCAGACAATCTTGACCGACTCAATGGGCCCATAGCGTTCGAACAGCTGCCGCAGCTGTACCTCGTCCACCGTCGTGGGAATGTAGTTCACCATGAGGTTGCGCAGCAAATCGGGCTCCGGGTTCATCTGCGGCTGCTGCAGTTGCTGCTGTGGAGAGTAGTATTGCATTTGTTGAGACATGGTGGTGAGTAATACCCCACTTTATTGGCGTTATTTATTCTTCTTGTTTGGTTCGCTCTTTTTCTATTTTCGTGTTCTTGCGGTCTCCTTCCCGGCTCACGTGAAGCGTGTGTGCAAACGACCCGTAGTGACCCACAAAAATAGCCCCTTGAAAGGGCGCCAGGAAAAAAAAGAAAAAAAAAACAGAGACTGAGTTAATAAATAACAAAGCCAAATGGCGACATGCAACCCGGCAGACACGTACGAAAGATGCCTACTACGGGTAGACCAACGCAGCGTCATTCCGTCCTCCCTCACCCCTGGTCGCTCCTGCGCTCACTCGCTCTCTCTGTGTGTGTATGCGTGTGTATGTATGTCCGTCTGTCTGAGCAGGGCCCATCTTCGCTCAAGCGTGTTGTCTCAAGAAGAGGTGCGTTGTCGCTGCTGCTCCTCATGCAGGGCAATGGTAAGCTCCTCCACCGGTCGCAGAAAACTCAGCAAATTCTGCACCCACTCTTGCAAAGAAGAGGCTAACGCCTCTGAAGTTCGGTTGTGCAGTGCATCGCATTCCATTAACGTGCTGCCTGGCGTGGCCTCGTCGCCCCCCTGAAGGGCGTGAAGCACGTCGTCTTGAAGCTCCTTTTGTACGCGTGCACACTCCTGAGTGAGCCCCACAAGCTGCCGCTGGAGGGCAGCCTGGCTTTCCTGCTCCTCCTCAATGCGCTCATGCAACTGGGTAAACTCTGCCACGTACGCCGCATCCTTCGCACACAGGAACTCGCGAACCTCCCGCGCCCGCAGTGGTGGCGCGTGGCGCGTCCCCACCTCACACATCGCTCCCGCACTTTCCGTGGCCATCGGTTGTTCTACGGAGGGGGTTAAAAGGGCACGATCGACCCGACGCAAAAAGGCGAGTGCCACCTCTCTGTCGTGGCCGCCAACGCCTCCTTCCTCTTCCTTCTCCTCGAGAAGCGCGGCAACGGCGTCGGCAAGGTAGTGCATTGAGATCCGGTGGCCGCCCGCGAGTCCGCCCGCCCCCTCCTCCCCCTCGCCAAGCAACATGAACTCCAGCAGCGAGAGCGCGAGACGACGGTCCTCCTTCAGGTCCGCCTGCGCCGCGGCCCCTGTGACGGCGTGCAGCGGCAACAGCTGACGCGCTACCCAAGGAATAAGCTCCCGATCCAGCTGCCCTCCCACGACGGCGCCCGCCGCAGCCGTTCCCTTCGCCTGTGGTGAGGCGGGAATAGCAAAGGGAGAAAGGCGCGGCCCCACGCGGCGCATGACGTTTCGCGCCGTGATGCGGGCCACGCGTTGGATGCTTGGCACCCCGGTGGGCTCATTGCCGCGCGGCAGGCACCCAAGGAGCTCCAGAAGGCACAGCAGCAGACGCCACCCCTCCTCATCCAGCGCCTCAAGTGGGGCATGCTTCACCACCAAAATTGTGAGTTGAAAAAGCGCCGCCAGCACCGGCGATGAAAACGGCGGCCGATAGGAGAGCAGCGTCGAAAGCGTGCGGAGGTTCGTGAGGGAGGCACGCAGTAGAAGAGAATTCGGCGCCGCCTGTGCATCCGCGGCGGAGGCGACAGGGAATTCGTTGTACGCCGCCAAGACAATCTCCACCGCATCCAAGATCAGCACCTCCACGTCCGGCACAGAGCCTTTTGCCGCGCCACCTGCGCCCTCGGGCCGCGGTGGGCACGCGGCAAGTCTACAGAGCAGCGTTGCCGCGTCACCCGAAGCGTGAATGACATCACAGCCAGCAGCGGAGGCCACCATGAAGAGGGCTGCGTCAAAAGCTATGCGAACACCCGTAACCGGGCTATGCGGCGGCCTCGTAACGGGGGTGACGCCTCCACCGCGCACCATTGGCGTACGCGCAGATGTCCTTCGCTTTCTTTGATTTTTTTCTTCTTTAATGTACTTTCCTTCCTTCCTTCGTGTCTTTCGTGCAACACGAAGCAAAACTTCACCGCCCTCAGGCAGGACGCCGCTCCTGCCACGCCCCGCTTAACCCACGAAGGAACATCAAGGTAGACGGAAAAAGGCACACACACACACACACACACACAAAAGGCGCACCCATGTCACCGAGAGCAGAGACAAAAGACGCTGGGCAGTAGAATACAGTGAGGGGCAGTGCAAATAATAATCGTAACAAAAATAATCATAGTACCAAGAGGGTGAGGAAGGAAGTAACGAGGGAAAAAATCCATCACAAAAAAAAACATGAACTGAAGTACTTATGTGTGGGTGGGTGTGTGCGTGCAGAGCGGCAGTAGCGGCGCGAACTCCCTCAGGTGGGACTTTCTAGTAGACTGCCCCTCTGCGAGTGCATCTTCCCACCCCCACCCCCGTCTCTCCTCCCTGCGCCGCACAACTGCAAACGAGGGGGTCCCGCCCACTGCCGATGCACAAAGAGCCCAACAGTACGAGGGAGAAAGATTTTTTTTTGTCCCCCACAACGCGTCCGTGGGCACATTGGACGGCAACGACAAGAATACATGAACAAAAAAAAACGGGCGAGAAGGGAGGAGCTGCA